CTGTGCTCTATAAACACAGCCTGCCAAGCTATTACCCTGAAACTTTTGTAAATACATATTTATTTAAGAGCTGTATAAATCATACTGTAACAAATTATTTTATAAACTTTTTTCAAGAGATTGCTTTATATTCAAACATTGGAATCTTTAAGTTCTTCAATTAACATTACATTTTTTTTCTTTCTTTTTTTTTTTCTTTTTGCAGTTTTTGGCCAGGGCCAGGTTTGAACCCACCACACTACTCCTTGAGCCATAGGCACTGCCCCCAACATAACATTTTTTGATCGTAGTTTTTAAAATAAGATTTAAAAAAATTTTGTATATTCATTCCAATATATTGGCTTCTTGACCCCAATGTTGCTTTAATATTTATGAAGTGTTCATTCTTCCTGTGTCTTCAGAAATCATTATAATGCTCACTTATTTTTTTAAATAGTTTTCAATATTATTATATTGTAATATTAGCAGATGATGCTTACAATCTAAAAGGTTCATATAATGTACATAAATTGCTCCTTTAATTACCACCATATGAAGGAAGATAGAAAAGAACCAATACAAAAGAGTCCATCTATTTGTTTTAAAGCCATTTTAGATTTTCTATGACATTTATCCCTCTAATCCGTAATTTCTATTTCTTATAGACTTTCTCAATGCTGTAATTTTTAAAATTTAAACTGAATATCAATGAAGAACAAAAGTATCTTCATGAAACAGGTATTGGAAGTAAAACTAAAGTATTCCAAGTATCTCCCTTTGCTACTTCTAGATTTTATGATACTTTAAAAGCAAAGTAAGGGTTAAAGAAGTTCCACTTATTTTGCGTGACAATTGCATGAGGACAGTCATGAGGATAACTTTGATAATTGAATTCTAGGTGGGAATCCAAAGAAATTCTCTATTCTTGATGGGTTAATTTAAGAGCAGTCCTAATTTTTTCTTTTCTTTGCTTTTTTTTTTCTTTTTTTGGAAACAGTCTCACTTTGTTGCCCTGGCTAGAGTGCCATGGCATTCATAACTCTCAGCAACCTCAAACTCTTAGGCTCAAGTGAACCTCTTGCCTCAGCCTCTCAAGTAGCTAGGACTATAGATGCTCACCACAATGCCAGACTATTTTTTAGAGATGGGGTCTCACTCTTGTTCAGACTGCTCTTGAACTCCTGAGCTCAAGCAATCCACCTGCTTGGCCTCCAGAGTGCTAGAGTCCTACCTTTCTCATCTTCTTCTTCTTCTTGGTCATCTGTTAGTGGAATCACTTCTGGCTGATCCACAATTGCAGCATCTTCATGGTCTGATGAAAGTTCTAAATAGAATGAGACAGAAGGATACTTAAGGATATCTTAGTTGGAATAATAAAGAAAGAACACAGTGACTATAGCCCAGAAAGTTAAAGTTCTTTTTTTTTCCCTCTAGGTTTCAACAGGCACACAAATTGCTATCCTCCAGTAATCATTGCCCAAAACACACACGCACAAGTATATATAGAATTGATGGTTCACAGTTTCATCTCATTCTCTGATAACAATATATTCTGGTTTCAGTACCTTCTGTTTCCATATATGAGCTCTGGGACTCGGTTTCAATTTTCATTTCATTCTTCATTGAATCATTCTCTTGTCCTGTTAAAAACAGTGATTGAAAAATAAAAGAAATGTGATATGCATCACCATAGCTTTATCCCTGGTTTGAAAAAGTAAAACTTTTAGAAACCATGCTCTATCCACTCTTGGAGGGATAAAGGACAGTTTTAAGGGACAAAGCATTTTTTCATATCATTAGATTTATATCAATTATTACATAATATCCAGATAATTTAGATAAAAATCCCTTTTTCTGAATAGCATATTAGTACTCTGCTTATCAATGCTCTGGACATGGATACAGGACACAACTTGGAAGTTTTGAAATTTTAAAATAATATAATTTCTGGGCTATCTGGGTTGAGTACCTCTAAATTTTTCCCTTGTTGACAATACCTAGAAAATTAAAATACTACTTGTTTTTCATTTTTCCAGAACATCTAAAACTTGAGTAATGTGAACACATGGGAGTTGGGTGGCATAGTAGCCCAACCACTCTCTCCAGGCATGTGCTAAATGTAGCAATGGTCAGGAGAGAATTCAGCCAACCCCTGATTACTCTGAGGCTGATTATCTAGTGATGGTTTTCCTACTACCTTCCTTGGCTTCTCCTCCTACTCTGCCCTGTAGAGTTAAAAACATTTAAGTGCTTACTGAGAGAGGAAATTGAAATCTTTCCATTTTCCTTCATGCTATGAACAGATTTTGTGTTGAAGATGTTTAACTGTTGAACTAAAAATAAATTCCAGAGCTATAGTTGGTTATAGGCACTAAGGGGTCATAGAGGAGGGTGGGCTCTTTGCCTGAGTACCTGCCTGTGGGGAACAGCATCACTGATCCACTTGCCTTTGCTTCCTGTAAAAGGGTTATGTTTGTCTGTGACCTGCAGTGGCCCCTGTGGGATAAGTGTATATTCTCACCTCATTGACACCAGCCCTGTTCATGTGATTTGGCTTAGAAAATAGCACTGGAACAGATGTGATGTGTACTGCATCTTAGCAGGAGCTTTAACATCCATTGTATCTTTCCTCTAGTTCTCCTGCTTCTATTAGAATTAAAACTGGTGGAACAGGACCAAGCAGGACCCAGCGGAGACAGTAAGCCTTTGTTGTTGAAAGCCATTGAAACTTTTGGGGTTATTTGTTACTGTAGCAAAGCTTACTTATATAATCCATCTTTTTATATCCCCCTCTTTGATAGTATTCTTAAACCACTCAGTATATTACTTCCCCTTAATTCATTTTCTGCTAGTATGACCTAGATGAGGGGAAAGATTTTGCATGACATCCATTCCTTCTGAGCTCATTTTAATCAAAAGAATCTGATAACATAATTACAACTAAGGCTTATTTATTTGTCTGATAATTTAAGCTAGAAACCTCCAGCTGTTTTGGATGACTTTGTTTGATCTCTTCTAAAGTTCAATGAAATGCCAAGTCCTGATGATTCTGCAAAATATTTCTCTTTTCCTACTTTTCATAATCATCACATTTCCTCATTCAGGGACATATCATCTGATTTTTAGATCCTTCATTTTCTTCTCCTATAATCTGTTTTGTGCATTGCTAGCAGAAAACTAGCAGAAATGTCTTTTAAAATATGGATTTGATCAATACTTTTCTTCTGCTGATAAATCCCATTCTTCCCCATTCTTCCCCATCACTTCTCAAAGTATAGCCATGGACAAACAGCATTGGAATCACCTGGGAGCTTTTCAAAAATGTAGCAATTCAGGCCTCACCCCAGACCTACAGAATCAGAAACTGCATTTTAACAAGATGTCTGTGTAGTTTGTATATAGATTAAAATCTGAAATACACTACCCTATGAGATGCCAGTGTATCTGCAAACTATTGAGCCCATAAAAATGCCAGGCTTTGCTTAGACACTCTACATCTATTATCTCTGATCATCACATTAGCCTTGTACATATTGTGATCCCCATTCTTTTTTCAAAATTCACCAGTAGCTCTATCTGACTATAAATACCTCTTTTTGTTTGCCTGGAAATACTTTTATTTTGATTTTTAGTTTTTTAAATTAATATCTATTTGCATATAGTAAAACCTACAAATAGGGTCTAGCTTGATGACCCTACATCCACACTATCTTCCCGTGTAGTCACCAACCAGATCAAGAACATTTCTTGTTCTAGTGGCTTCTTCCTGTTGACACCCTCCAACTGGTAATAGTTTTGTCTGTTTTTCAAATTCATATAAACATAACATAAAGTATATGCTCTTTTCTATTTTCGTTGTTTTATGCCTGTTGTCTATAAGGTTAGTTCCAGTTGCTCTGTGTATCAATTGTTCAATTTTTTTTTTTTTTTTTTGGTAGAGATAGAGTCTTACTTTATCATCCTCGGTAGAGTGCTGAAAAATAACACACAAAAAAAACAGTAACAAAAAATAATACACACAAAAAATAATATAATTATGCCAAGGAAAAATACTTTTATAAAACATGTTCAGAAAAATAAAATACATAGAAAGTGTGTTTGGATTTGCAGTGAAATATAAGACTAATGGGTAAAGAAATGAAAAGGTAAATTGAATGAATAGGAAATTGACTGAGATAATAAAAAAAATCATATCACAGGCCTAGAAACACTATGACATTCTCCAGTGGATGTCATAAAGAAGAAGAAATGCTGTATATAAGTAAGTCAATGTTTTAGATATCAAACTCTTGAGTGAAAGTTTACTGAGAAAGCAAAAGTAGTGAGAAAAATATAACATGAGATGATGATAGATACACAGAACAGAAAATAGTAATAGAACTTCTAATCCAAAGATTATAAGAATTCTAAGCAGCAAAATTTTATCTATATGATAGAAACAACGAAATAACATATTTTGAGGTTTAAAAATATTATAGAAAGTAGTATACAATTTCATATTTTAAACTGCATATAGAATACACCTGTCCTTATATTTACATTAGCAGGGACAAGAATTGAAAGGTTGTGTCTCAAATGTTAACACTGATGATCTTTGAATGGTAGGTGATATTTTAATTTATAGGATTTTGATTTTTCTAACCTGCATTTTGTATTTTATAATAATTGCATATTTATAATTTAATTACCACAGGGTATCCATGAAGTTTCTGTACAATTTAAAATATAAACTGCACAAGAACTTTATGGACACTCTACTATAAAACAATTTACAAAATAGAAAAAATGCTCTTAGTGCTATCACAGAAGAAAAAATTCTGGCTAAAATGTGTGTGTGCATCTCAAATCAAATCCAATTACTTTTTTCTCAGTCTCTACTTGAACTCTAGAAACAGTTGAGGGATGTAATTGTTGAATGACTTTTTAAAAATGTCCCCTTTTTTGTCTTTGAGCCAAATCACATATCATTCCCTGTGCTCTCTACGCCAACCTAATACTCATTCTCTATACCTATTACTTTATTTCTTACCTTTGCACTTACTTGGTATGTGTTCCTAAGAGCTGAAATGCCCTCTTTTCTCCTTTCTTACATAAGTAAAATCTCTTCATCTTTCACAGCTAGATCATTAATTTCCCTTTTTTTTTTTTTTGTAGCTTTCTCTGACTCACTAGGCAGGACTGATCATTTTCATATCTTTGCTTGTTGAGTTCTTTTGCCCGTTCATCTCCTTATTATCCTCCTCACACTGTAATAGAGTTGCATTTGTGTTCCTCTCTCTTACCAGATCATGAGCATTAAGAAGAAAGGAATTTTGTTTTATTCATATTACCCTTCCGATCACCTACTGATAGGGCGTCTATCTAATCAATAGATGTCTATCTAATTGGTTCCCTATTATATATGAACCAAAGTCCGTAAACAGTCATTGAGGACTATCACTTTCTCTCAGATCTTTTAACAACAAGGTAAGTGCCTTATGCTACTAAGCAATCTATGTCCTGTATTTGTGCAAAAAATCCTGGAGTAAAGATACTTTACTTATACATAAAGATAACTGAATGTTTTAGGTGGGCAAGTCACAATCTCTTTGGGCTTCAATTTCATCAAGCCCCTGGGTTCCTAAGTCTTCTTATGAAGTTTCCAGGAACATCAATGTTTGTTCATTAGGTGGATGACACTGAGAAGGAATCCTCACTGTTTATTGAGTGAGCCTCATAGCACTGTGTGTATGCCAACTTGACCATCACACCTAATCGTCACGCCAGGTGATTGCTGGAACCTCCAACTCATTATTTGTGACTAGCAGTGTATAGTAACAGGAAAGAGCAGAGCATCCAGAGAGTAAGAGCAGCTAATCTGTATTCCTGTGTGTGTCATGATGCCAGTGTCTACTTGATAAATGTTCAGAGGAATTCAGTCAGCCATGAGGAGATCACAGTTCAACAGAGGAACTGCTGATAACGTGAGACAGCTTGAGGTGGCAACCTAAGGCTGTTGATGAATACCAGAAAATGTCAGTGATTTGGAATTCTTGACACTGCACTTTGAGGATAAAAACCTATTTCAAATCTCTTGGAATATTTTTCTCCCTTGCCTTCTAACCTGTCTCTGCTCCTGACCTATTTCACCTGTGTGCTTTACATATTTTGACCATCTTTTCGTGAAATAGAAATGCATACATTTTTCTCTTTCCGATTTTCCTAAAGTTAATAAAAAATAGGGAGGAAATGAGGTGCCCAACTTTTAAAATGGGCTGGGATTTGGTGTGTGCACATGTGAGAGAGAGAGAGCGCCCACGAGCTCCTCACCCTGCACCCAGGCCTGCTGTGTGTTAATGACAATTCCGGGAGTTTCCAACCCATCTTGCTTTCTTGGCCTCATGGGAGTGGGGGGGGATGGGGGGATGGGGGTGGGGGGTGGGATGGGGGAGTGGAGAACCTTTATGATGGGTTCTACCATTCAGAGTAGTTGAATTCCACCTACTGTCCTCTGCCCTAACCCCTCCTAGCAGAGGAAACAAAAGAAAACAAAGAATCCCACAGTTTATATATATATTTTTCATACCTAAACTCAACCTTCCATACTGATGAGAGGGGAACATTAAAACAGATAATCCCCAAATCCATTCACTTTTCTTTA